TGTGAGAGACGTTTACTTTCTCCTGGGCTCACAACAGCAATTCAGGCAGTTGTCACCAGGTAACAGTGAAATCTCAGGTGTTGGCGGAGGTCCTCAGGAAGTTTCCCTGAATGAGTCCGAGACTCAGTGGATGCTGCCCAACCGTGAACTTCCCCTCTGTGCTTGGGAGCAAATGGGATTAAGAAGCAAGGACAATCACAGCCCATTATTCTCTGACCAGAAGACAGGCTGCAAATTTGTGCTGAAGAAGGAGAATTCAGCAGTATCTAAAGGCTCTTTGTTGAAAGTTTCTTTTTGTTTGATAGCCAGGCTATGTCTAAAGTTTCTTTGTCAGAGTCTTAAATTCAGTTTGAGAAATTAAATTCGTGTGCTCATTCTTTCAATAAACTCTTGTGTCTATAAACAGATTAAGGAGAAAGCTGTCTATCATTGGTCCCAAATAAAGTAAAAGGTTGCAACTGGATGTCTCCATGGCTCTCAATTTCTGCCCTAAAGAAAACAATGAAAGACTTTAGGGGGTCCTCCTCCACCCACCTCCACTGGGATCACAGCCTAGGCTGGCTCAGACGGACCTGGTTGCAAACGGCAAGTAGCACCCTCTGTTTTCTTCTCTCAGTACCCACAAACTCACTGTACCAATTAAAAGGGCTGGGCCTGTGCAGACTCCCACCTTTGGGCAGATGAAACAGATTCATTGTTCTCTCCTAAACAGGCTTTTGTGCCTACTACCAAGGTTCCCTGTGAACTTTGGGTTGCTAAACATAATGGTCTGTTCTCAATCTGGTGGTCATTTTTCAACATTCTCCTTTTTTGACTTCCATGATTTTACTGATTCTCAGCCTACCTCTGGGGCCATGTTTCATCTTTTGTTACAACCCTTTCCTCTGCCCACCTCTTAAATACTGACATTCTCCCAAGTTCTATGTCTTGCCACCATCTTGTCTTATATTCTTCTTGGTTCTTTCAACCATTCTAGTGGGCTGAGCCACCAAGCATATGCTAAGGATTCCCAAATGTTTTCTCTGGCTCAGTCTTCTAGCTCCTAACCACCAGATTCCTATATTCTACTGCCTACTGAATGTCTCCACTTGGATAGGAAATTCAGATTCAACATGCCCAAAATTAGTTCACTGTGGTTCCCACCCCTTCTCCCAAACTGTGCTCTCTGTCCTGCAAGGGCAACAGCATCATCCACCCAGTTGCACTGGCCTATGGCATAGCCATAAACTAGGAGATGCCTTTGACTGTTCCCATTGCCTCACCTCCCACATCCAATCAAGCACTAAGCCCTGCTGGGTTTACCTACTAAATCTCAAATTCAACTGTTTCTCTCCATTTCTACTATCCCTGTCTTAGTTTACCAATTCCATCCCCCATTTGGCCACAAAAGTACTGTATCTAAAACACAAATCTACTCATGTCCTTAGTGCTGGAAATCCTACAGAAGCTCCCCTGCCAAACCCTTGAGCATGGTAGAAAAGATTCTCTTTGCCCTAAACTTTACTGATGACTCCAACATCATTCCCCAAGCCTCCCATTCCAGAGTTTCACACCGTCCTGATTCACCTTTCCTTACTTTGTTCATGCTGATCATTCTTACTTAAAATGTTCTTCCTAAACTCCTTCACCGGGTATCTGTCAGCACTCATGGCCTAAGTCACTTTCTCCAGAAAGTCTTCCTTGTTGCCTCTGTCATGTGCTTCCCTGTGCCCTCTCCAATGTCTGGCACGGTACACGACACATTGCATTGCAGCTATCCTTATGTGTTTGTCTTCTCAAGACCACAAACTCCTAGAGCCCACAGTGGGAAAGCCTTGGGATTTAGGGTCAGAGGACAAGATTCCAAGTCCTAAATCTATTACTTATTAGCTGCGAGGTTTTGGAATGCCACTTGTGAGCCTCAATGATTATAACATTTAATTCATAGGATTGTCTGAACAAATGTACTGGGGCAAGTCATATGACACATCTGCTATTTCCTCAGCTTTAAAATTGGCTCAGCAATCTCTAGAGTCCCTTCCAGGTTTAAAAGTTTTCTAAGCTTATGAGGCCTACTTGCCATTTTCCTGCAATCAATAGCATTAGCAAATTTATAAACCATTAAAAATGATTAAAACTACACAACAAATAAAAAGTATTCTCT